GTCATTGATGAGGAGTGGAATTGTCCGAAACTAGTCTGGCTCACAGACCCCCCCCCCAATGAAAGAATAGACCATTCCAAGCTTTTACTTGTTGTTAAATAAATGTTTAAACAACTCTATTCAATTAAGAAAAACGTTCAATGTTTATTATTCGGTTATGTACTGAATAGCAGGATTGAATGCCATAACTAAAACACCTTCAGAAACAGAGAAGTAATTAAGAGAGACATTCAATAGTCTTTACCCGGTTATGTATGATACACGAATTATATATTTGTTGGAATTTATGTGCTATTTTGTGTTGTTGTTGTTTTTTCTAGTGGTCTTCTTTTTGTTTATTCTGACTGGAAGAAGTTGGAGAAGAATAATGGCAGACTATCTCCGATGCATTTCTGTATTCATAAGATCTGGCGGTAAGTTAAACATTTACTGCTATATGGTATGAAAAGTGTAAAAACAGAAAATCTGTTATTATGGTATACAATGCTGGCGAAGCGTTTTCTATTGATCGGTAGTCTTTGTGACTTTACATCAAAATAACACTAATAATAATTTTAAGTAAATATTTCATAGTAGAAAATCATTATTAATCTTATTGTGGTGTAATGTCACACATATTACCGATCAATGAAAGCTTTGGTAACACGATGGAGGCTTCTTTTTTCCCTTACAACAGGCCTATAGAATTACATTGTTGTTTTCGTTTTTGCTAACATTTTTTTTGCACCATTGGTGTTAATACATTGTGACTGTGATACGGAAGAAAAATTAAATTCAGGCTTAAATCATTAACGTATCGGAATCCAAAGAAGATCCAAATCATGGAAGATATATACATATATATATATATATGTATATGCGAATACAATTTACCAAAAGACTAGACTATAATTTTAAATACTTATGAATTAAACATCTAAACAGTAGATAGAGACTAGTACAGATGAACACTTGGCATTTAAGGCATTCATATTTCACTAGTGTTTGCTTATTTATGTATTTTTAAGCTTTAAATATTATAAATGTCATTCTGTTTCAAAAATTAGCATCAAGTCATTAAACATTCTGATAGAAAACTCGATCTCACCTCCACTGCACATATTAAGGCGACATTTTTGGGTATTTGTTCTTTGTAAGCTCACACTCATTCTGACTGTCAAAACACCTTCTTACTTTCAGCTATTAAATATATTTGTAACTTTGATGGATATCATTGAATAAATAAAATGGTATTATGTGTTATGCCTGAGTAATCATTTCTACAACATTAAGATAAACAATACTTTAATGTGATTCTATTTCCATAAAAAATATTTCTATGTAGTTGTTTTTATTTTGTTAAATTAGCTAGCATCGTTTATCGGCATTCTTGACAAAAACTAAAGAAATAGGTTATTGCTTTGAAAGTATCATTTCTGTTATCTGCTCTCACAGATGATAATGGTTAACTTGATTCTTATCGTGTAGTCAATGAGTTACGAGCTCACAGATTATAATGGATAACTTGATTCTTATCCTGTATGAGTTACGAGCTCACAGATTATAATGGTTAACTTGATTCTTATCCTGTAAATAATGAGTTACGAGCTCACAGATTATAATGATTAACTTGATTCTTATCCCGTATGAGTTACGAGCTCACAGATTATAATGGATTAACTTGATTCTTATCCTGTATGAGTTACGAGCTCACAGATTATAGTGGTTAACTTGATTCTTATCCCGTATGAGTTACGAGCTCACAGATTATAGTGGTTAACTTGATTCTTATCCCGTATGAGTTACAAGCTCACAGATTATAGTGTTAACTTGATTCTTATCCTATAGTTAATGAGCTATGAGCTCACAAAGTATAATAGTTAACTTGATTCTTACTCTGTAATGTTCAAGTTGTGAACCGACAAGCCATTAATGGTTAACTTAACTTGATACTTTTTCTACGTTTAATACAAGGTCAGTGGTTTCGATATTCAACCTAATTCCACTTCTTTCTCTTTTTAAGAATGACGCCTATGTACATGCTGATAGTAAGTTTGGTCATTGTTCTCCCATTGCTCGGGTCAGGACCTTGGTGGAATGAAACTATAAAGCCTGAATATGAAAACTGTAGAAATTACTGGTGGAGAAACCTTTTGTTCATCAATAATTTTTTTCACGTAAAGGAATTGGTAAGCTTACAAATTGTTTTTTTTCTTTTAAAGAACATAACTATTGAGATCCTAAAACGTTATGTAACTGTGAGTCTTTAGAATTAAGCAAAATCCTCGACAGCAGGCATGTAATAGTGTGATTTACTATACTTAGTGTATTCAGTAATAGTCTATTTCTAAAAAGAGTCTTTGCTCTATAAATTAAATATTAATTCATTAATCCATTTTCCACACATTTTTATCATTCATATGAGTAAACTTTAACAAATTAATTAGATTTTTTAACAAACTGAATAACTGTATATGCTATTTGGAGATTGAGAAGAATAAATTATACTATTTTATAACGGAAGCTGCTATGACTTATTTCTCTCTACCTGTTCTGTGTATGTTTTCTTCAAGATTTAGTAACCAAACAATAAAACTGAGTTTCGTTTCAATTCTAATCATTGCTTTATTTGATCACAGTGTATGTTACACACTTGGTACATGTCATCCTATATGCAGATCTATGCAGTGTCGTTAGTAATCCTATTACTTTTGTACCGGTAAGTGAATTGCCTTTATAATATTTTGTAACTTGTAAGCGTAAATTGTAACGTATCATACTTCATTTTCATTCGTCTTACAGTATTGTTTTCACGTTATGAGTTGCTTGAAGATTCAGCACAAAAAATGGGATTTATAGTTTTCATGGTAGCTTATAAAGCTGAATTAATTTTTATCGACTTTACCTAAGATTTGATATATTGCGATTTCAATTGAAAAAGCTTTTAACAAGTATCTAAATCGTATCTTTTGTGAAATGCATCATTGAGGAAAATACGAAGCTCAGTCAGTTAAAAGCTTATAAAAGTACAAAAGAAAACCAAATTTACGATGCAATTATAACTTTTTCACCAAGCTTTCCAAATTTCATGCTGATGAAGCAGTTCGCTTTGCACAACAATAAAAAATACACTTGACCCAAATAATGAAGTGGTCCTGGACTACAGAACACCAAACAATCATATAATGTAAGGACACCGTTAGCAACTTACTAAATAACAAACCTTATATATTGGCTTACCGTGTTTTGTAGGTCAAAAGCTTTAATTTATTTCAAACTATATAATAGAAATTTTAATGTGGCACATCGTTTAGTACAGTTATAATTTTTCTGAAGAAGTTATAATTAAGACCAGTCTCAGTTTCTATTCTTCCGAAAAGTTTTAACTGCAACATGTTAAATGGAATGTTGAAGATTAAATATTCATTAATAAATTATTTGTAAAGCCCGACAGTGGGTAATTAACGCCCTCAGATCATATTTCTCGTTCAAAATAATCTGGAATAGAACTTTCCTGTGATATGTTGTTGACCGTATCGTCAAGAGTATTAGGACCGTCACTAGAAAATAATCAGTAACTAATTAGTAATGTTGGAATGTTGAAGATTAAATATTCATTAATAAATTATTTGTAAAGCCCGACAGTGGGTAATTAACGCCCTCAGATCATATTTCTCGTTCAAAATAATCTGGAATTGAACTTTCCTGTGATATGTTGTTGACCGTATCGTCAAGAGTATTAGGACCCTCACTAGAAAATAATCAGTAACTAATTAGTAATTAGGCCTTGCTGAACGTATAACTATGGTAATGACTGGATTCAGTTTTTGTAATTTTACCTCTCTGTTGTAAAATATCTCTTCATTAGAATAAAAGTAAGAAAATGTCATAAAAATGTTTTTTAGATTTTTAAATATTAGGTCGTCAAGAAATTAATGTTGCTTTTATTAGATAAAAAAACTCGAACAACTTATTTATCAAAACAAAACATTTATTAAATGAAATAGTCTCCATTCTTATTCATGATTCTTTTCCATCTTACAATCAGGTTGTTAATGCCCTCATTAAAGAAATCACTTGACTTTGAAGCAAAAAACATGTCCTCTTTAACGCCTCAGACATTTGCATATGTTTTCCCATTAAGATGGTGTTGCAGCGAATGAAAAAGTTGGTAATCTGATGGTGCCATATCTGGAGAATATGGTGAGTGGGGAAGAATTTCCCAACCCAACTCCATAATCTTGTGTTGCGTCAAACGTGCCATATGTGGATGTGCATTGTCTTGGAGAAGAAGAACACCTTTCCGATTGACGAGTGAAGGGCGTTTCTAATGAACGGCTTGATTTAAACGTTCCAGTTGCTGACTATAGATCTCTGCAGTGACAGTTCGCTGTGGATTGAGGAATTCGAAATGAATTACTTCCTTTGATGTCTCACCAAATGCAAAGCATCACTTTCTGTGGGTGTAGTCCAGGTTTTGGGGTCGGAAGTGGTTTTTTGTCTAGGACTGAGCCATTGTTTTTGGCATAGAGAATCCATTTTTCATCACCGATGACAATTCTGTCCAAAAAATGGTTCACGCACATTACTCGCCAGAAGAGACGAAGCAATGTTCACACGTTGGAAACGATGATCATCGGAGAGTTCATGAGGCACCCAAACACCTTTTTTATGGAGTTTTCTATATTCCTTAGGTGTTTACGCATTGTTTCGTGAGAATAATGCAATTTCAGGGCCATTTCACGAATGTGTTGCCTTTGGTTAGACTCAGCAAGCGCCTTCAGATTATCAGTATCAATTCCAACATGTCGGACTCTGCCATCACAGTTTTTATGGCTAAAGTCACCTGAACGAAATTTTCTGAACCATCGTTCACACTTACGAACGTTCAAAACATTTCCATAAACTTCTTTGATATTCTTTGTAGCTACAGAGGCGTTTTTTCCTTCTTGTATTCAAACAGCATTACATGCCGAATGTGTGTCTCGTCGTGGGCTATTACTATAAGGGATTA